AAAAAAAAAAAAAAAAATCCTCCCGTATGTGTGTACTGTTAACTAATTTTTTCCAAAGCGCATTATAAAAGTTAAGGACAGGGGACTAAACAAAAAAAAGAAAGCAGCTATGGATCGGCGGCGGAAGTCTACTTTTCTCCCATTGTTAAAATAAAAGGTAAAAAATTCATTTCATTTGCGTCGCCTACACATTGGCATCCAGTTGTGAAGGACATTTTTCGCCAAATGGGCATAAGTCGAAAGGGGGAGAGAAGGCCTTCTTCAAATTGTATTCCTCCCTTTGTTTGCACTGAAACGGTAAAGTTGGGGATTGTACCATTGTGTACGATGTATCTTCTGTGTAGAGGGGAAGTATTCACCTCAATGGGGAGACAGAACATACCCTACACAGAAGGTAATCACAAATCCAATCAATTGAAAGAACAACAAAAAAATAAGAAGAAAAAGGGAACACACAAAGTTGCGCACTTCGGTTGAAGGCACGTCAAAAAGTTGCTGCCGTTGAATGGGGTGAACATACACAGCTGTTCACCAATTGCACATAAGAGGATTAAAAAAAAAAAAAAAAAAAAAAATGGAATCGGATGGGGAGATTTAAAAGCTCCAAGAAAAAAAAAAAAAAAAAAAAAAAAATGGATAAAAGAGGAAAATAATTCACGTCGTAGCTAAGCTGTGGCATTTCTTAAATTAACAAAGTTGTATGTAAGGGAGGCGAAATTTTGAGAAAAGTAGCAAAAAAAAGGAGTAACCTCGTTGGTGAGAAGGGGCTTATGGAAAAGCGCTACTAAGGTGCGAACGTTCAGGCCGATGCAAAATTTATCAATTTTTTTTTTTTTGCATCAACGTTTTCAAAAATTGTAACATTCGACTGTGCAAATGTTCGCACTGGTATGAACAAAATTTACAAACGGAATTTCTCACCCACTTGAGAAAATGATAAGAAAATGTTAAGTGGAGGGAGTAATCCGTTTGCAGTTCTTGCTCCTACACGCGCCCTGTTGGATTAGCAGTGATCAGTGGTGAAGAGGTTGTGGTTGGGATTGGATATATATGCTTTTAAGTTTTTTGGGCAATTTTTTTTTTTCCAAAAAATGAAATTTTGGCAAGTCCATTTGGGATGTTCCTACAAAGCAGCGTATTCAGCTGTAGTGGTGATTTGAGAAGGTGCGTACGGCTTGGTGAGGGCGTGAAGAGAAAGAAGAGGAGACCACTTTTCGGAAAGGAGCCGCGCCGGGTGCCCCCGCTCGCTTCGCTACGCAGAAACGCGTCATGGATGAATACAAATGCAGCAGCTGCCTAGACGACGTGTGCACGAGCAGCGAAAAAAAGCTGTTCTACTTTGACATTTGTAAACACAAGATCTGCGGAGAATGTCTGGAGAACCACCTGAGTCAACATAACAAGCAGCATTGCCCACGTTGCAAAATAAGCGTAACGAAAAGAAATGTGACTCCTTTGGATATTGAAGACAGAATCTACTCCAACCAAAAAAATATCCGATCCAAATTGACTGAAATTTTTAATAAAAAAAGACACAACTTTGAAAATACCCCCTTGTACAATAATTACTTGGAGCAAATCGAAGACATCATTTACCTGTTAACAAACGAAGCGGATGAAAAAAAGAGAAAAGTAATTGAAGCGTATATTAAAAAATACGAAAAAGAAAATCAAAAAATTATTGAAGAAAATAATGTTATTATATATGAAAATGAAAAAAAAAAAATCCATGATATTGTAAAAAAGGAAGGGAACTTTTATGAAATTATTAAGCACAGACCGCTTATCAAAAAATCCCACAATGAGACATTTGTACATTCGCTTGTTAAAGAGAATCCAAAGCTGTTTGACGAAATAAAGGTGACGAACGTTACTGAGTGCCAACCACAGCCACTGAACCCTGCCATCAAGAACGACACAGATATTCCTTTGCGTAGATTTTCTTCCGAACAGGAGCTGAAGAAGTCGGACCACGCGGGGGGGTACGACGTTTCCATCGTCTTTAAAAGGTGCGACACGGAGTTCAACTCCACCATTTATCTTAACATATGAGATGAACTTTTCTGAGCAGGTGTGTATAACCAATTTGTGTCCGTTCACCTAGCAGTTACACACCTGTGAACGAACCCTACACCCTGAACCGTTATCAAGTGAGTAGCGACTCATTAGTGTCGTGGTCACCCCATTTTTTTTTTTTTTTTTTTTTTTTTTTGTCCAACACCCCACGGGATTTATTCCCACACCAACTCTTCCATCGGAGATATCGTGGCTCCCACCCCACTGCGGGAAAAACAATTTGCAAATCGCGCACGTTGAAAAATCGAAACAAAAATGAGCAAAAATATTTGTTAAATTAAGCCCTAATTGGCTCTTTAAAAATAATCCAAAAAATGGCATACGCGTCGAGTTGTGTTGTGTAGGGGCGTGGCTCACGTGTTTCTCCTCTTCGCACCTTCGCGCGGCGTATTAAAATATGAGGCGTGGACGACGGGGTCACCGCTCTTCACAGGGAATGTTACAATAATGTGTTTGTACGTGTGCCTTTCCACCATTTACTCAAGGGAGAAAGAACGCTGCTGCGCTGAAAGCACCTTTCTTGAGTTTACCCCCTGTCGTATTTAAAGTAAACAACGACTTGAAGAAGGGATCCTCCCCGCTCTTCCTGGAGTATCCACGTATATAACCGACATCGCAGAAATAACCTTTGGCACAGCTTATGCACCGCGCGCTGTAGAAACAAGTCGCTACGCGTTGCTGCACCTGAGACTTATCATCGTTATATAGGAGGCGACGCCGGAATGTTGAAAAAAAAAAAAAAAAAAAAAAAATTAGCCGCGCAAACAGTTCACTGCATCTGAGCTAGAAAAAAAAAAAAATGGCACCTAGCTGGACGATCCGAATGGAGAGGTGAACAGGTGTGAATAGATGCACGACGTTGTGAGTACTTTAACCAGCTCATTCAAACGAAGGAGCAACTTGGTCCGACGACCTTCACACGCGAGAACTTCCCCCCAAACATTTCTCCTCCCACACGAAACACTTTCCGGGAAGGCTTCCCCCCCGCCGCTAGTATCATTCTCCACGTTAGTGTGAAGAGGGTAAACCGCAAACTACCAAAAGCGCAACGGTGTGGCCCCCATGGAGGACGACCTGGAGAGCAGAGTGAACCACTTCTACGGAGTGGTACAGAGGGAAATTTTGAACTTCTTCACGGAGGAGAAAGACAATAACGAGTACCTAAGTTACGAACGCATAAAACTGTTAGTACAAGATTTGATGGACTACCTACATAGTGATGGTTTCTACATCTTCACAAAAACGTGTAAAGAAGGGGCCAACATCAGGTGCCTCCAAGAACCCAAGCTCTTTTCATTTTCAGTAACCCCACACAAGCTAAGTCGAAATCTCCTGCGTCTCTGCCAGCAATGCACATTGCTTTACTCAGAATTATTTGACAATATGGTTTGCGACATGCATTTTTTATTAAGCGTCTTTGAAGGGATAAAGAAGCACGATGAGTTTTGTGGTAGACTGATTGAGATTTGCGAAAGGGTCTATTTGAGTAAGCAGGGCCCAGGGCGAGACATAAAAAAGGACATACGCTGCGTTATTGGCAGGTCGGACTACATGCTCGACAGCAGGGGGTGGCAAAGTGATCCACGCGGTGAAAGCGGCAAAAACGGCAAAGGCGAGCGCGACTGCGAAATTAAGCAAATCGAGTACAACACCATTTCGGTGGCCTTTGGAAACCTATCCTCTGTGCTGTTCGAGGCGCACAAAAACATGCTCAAGCAGGTTTACCGGGAGTGCTTCCCCCTCGAGGGGGACAAGCAAGAGCAGCGGGGGGGAGGTGAAGCAGCAGCAGGACAGGAAGAAGAGGAACAGCTGCTACACCGCGTGGGGTCCATCCTAGAGGGCAAATTCAAAAATGATTTCCTCGAGGGAATAGTTACATGCATGAAAAAGTGCCACCAAGCTTACCTGACCAAAGCAAAACCACTGCAAGGACAAAATAAAACAGTAATCATTTCCATCCTACACAATGAGGATCTAAACAGCTATGACAAGTACAGGACAAAATATGAGTTAAACAAAATGGGCATAAGTCAAAAGTGCTTGACCATAAAGGAGTTACAAATTCTTTATGAAAAAAAAAAAATATTTTTAAATTACCCACACGAGACGTTAGAAGAGACATTAAAAAGGGTGAAGAAGGAATGTCCAGGTGACCTCCACACGGAGGAGAAATTTGCTCCGGGAAAACTCCTCCTCGATTTGAATACCCAAGAGTATGACCCATGTCAGTACCCCCAATATAAGAAACACGTCTTAGAAGTTAGCGTTGTGTATTTTCGTTCTCTGTACTCACCAGATCATTTTAATGAATCCATTTGGCATGTGAGGGAGTTAATGGAATTCAGTGATGCTGTTAAAATTCCGTCACTGCCTTACCAGCTAGTGGGATCCAAACGAATACAAATGATCCTACTTGATGAGACTATTCTAAAACACTACCTGTCTCTAGATGTAAACAAAATGAAAAAATCAGTTGAGCAACTACAACATGACGTGAACCTCTTACAGAAGACCTTCGCCCTACAGGTGGACCCCTCGCTCAGCCAAAATGAACACATCGTTTCACATGCCATTAGGGAGGACCACAATTATTTACTTAAACCGCAGAGAGAAGGAGGGAAAAACAATTTACACGGTAAGGACATTAAGGAGAAACTCATGCTTTATTATAAACCTGAGGAACGAGATAAGCTCTCCTTTTATGTCCTCATGCAAAGGTTGTTTCCGACTCCATTCACTGCGGTGCATTGTAGGACGAGGCTGTGCCCAAGTTGGGAAGGCGCTCATGATTCTTCGCTTACACATAAGGAGGGTGACGTGGGACGAAATTTCTCCTCTGTTGAAAGCTGGAGCAAATCCCACGTCGTTCAATTCTCTCCTGAACAATCCATCTCGGAAATTAGCCTCTTCCACAATTTTGTGTTTTGTGAAAATGTGAACCTGTTGAATGAACAGAAGGGTTACCTGGTGCGGACGAAGAACGCCAAGGAGAACGAGGGCGGTGCCATTTGCGGCATCTCCAGCTTGGACTCCTTCTTCTTGGTGTGACCGGGGCGCAGGCAGAAACAGGTTACCCTTGTAGCGGTCACCCGTGTAGCAACCAGCAGCTTAGCGTGGGTGAGCAGGGTTAGCCGCGGGCCCGTGTGGCAGAATTATAAAAAAAAGGGGTGCAGCCGCATGCATGCTTTGGTACTTGAAGCCTGTTCATTTTTGTCGCCCCAAACAGTGCGTGCACACGTAGGCCAGCGGTGTATATAGGGTGACTTGCCGCCCACTCGCCCGCCTTTATCCCACTTACCCATTTGCGTTTATTTTATTTTATTTATTATTATTTTTTTTTTTTTTTTTTCCCTGCGGCAATTTTGTTGATCCACTATATGACCGTTCGTGTGGCTTGGCCGCGTGCTCAACTGCCTTGTGGGGGGGGGGGGAAAAAAAGCTAAGAAGCGCAGCTGTGTACATTAATGTTCTCTCACCTGCCGTTTTTTTTTTTTTTTTCCTTTCGCTCCGCTTCTCCTCTCTCCTCCACGGTAAGCGGTCCAAAATGCTTTCCGTTCTGAGGAACACCCTTCGAAACGCAAAACGTTTGGGTAACTTGAAATTGTTTTTACGAGAAGAGGACTTCTTCCCGAGGGAGGAACAAACGGCACGTCGGGCCACTACACTTAACTCCGATTATGGGTCTCTCCATTCAAATGTATTTTTTAACGACGTGAACATATTAGTGGAGGGTCCGCGCATGGCGGAGAAGAACAGCACGCTGCTGTTTAATAAAGTTCGAAATGACAAGAGGCACAGAAAACGGGCCTTCCAGAAAAGGGGCTACTGGAAGAAGATGCACTACTTCACGCGCAAGGCCAACATGATGAGGTGGGCCACGCACGGCGCGCCGTCCTACACACGATTGTTCATGCAGTTGTGCACACATTTGTACATACGATTGTGCACACGATTGTACATACGACCGTGTGTGTGTGCATGTACACATGCGCCGCTTCACATCCCTGCAGCTTCGCCTTCAAGATGCAAAATATTGATTACGAAAAAATGAAGAAACTGAAAAGGGGGGAAGTTTATTCCACATAGAGAGAGAAGACCGGATCCTCTTTGCAGCAGATGCAACTCTTCTCCCATTTGTTTTCACACCATCAGCATATGTCTGTGTAATTTTTTTTTTTTTTTTTTTTCCTCCATCTTATGACTGAGGGATGGCTACTTTTCTTTGGTTTGTGTGCACTTCCAGCTGCGAAATGACATGACAATGGAAAAAAAAAAAAAAAAAACTTTTATAAATACGCACAACATGGTAATATTTATGCCTCTTTTAATGTGTAACGGAAAGGGGAAGTACGTATTACATATCGTGAAGCAAATCGCCGTGGAGACCCATCTGCCCACAGGGGTCCATTCCATCTTACGTCACTGAAGAGCTTCTTCAGTTTCTCCTCCGAGTTACTAATGACCTTCTTCCTGCTCTCGCTGTAGGGGGGGGTGAGGTAGGTAAATAGCAGCATTTGCTTGGCTACTCGATCTGCATTTCGCGCTGAACAGCGACCTGCATACATAGGCGGGCGGGCACAACGCCGTGTGAGGATATGCCGCCAATCAGACTTACATCTCCCCTGTGATGTAGTGGATCCTGCGAGTGATGGTGTCGTAGCATTTATTCTTTTCCTCTCGCACCAAAATCAAACCGACCAGCTTGTGCAACACGGCATCGTCCTCCAAGTTTTTAACCTCCTGTGAGAAGGACGCAAGGAAAAGGGAACGTCCGCATGTGTACTTGTAAGAGGGTAACACAGTGCCACATAATTTCACCGGGTTTAGGGGCAGACCGGGGTAGCGGCCTTGTCCTACCTCCAGGAGAATTTCATTTTCCACCTTCTGCGTGATCAGTTCCTCCAGCTGGGCGTTCAGCTTCTCGCAGCCTTAAAAAGGGGTCAAAAAAAAAATGGTAAAATAGTTGTAAAGGCATAACCCCTCCTTTCACTCCTTTCCTCGTGACTGCAAATGCAAACTGCGTAGCACTCGAGACGTACTCGTCTTCAAGGTGTTTATCTCCTTCACAATTTTTGTCACTTTATCTTGTGACATGGTGTGTGTGTGTGTGCTACTTTTTTTTGTTGTGGGTGGAAAAAGGAAAGTGGCGGGAAGGTACACTTAACACACGCCTTTTTTTGGGCGGGCGGCTACAGCGACTCTTTCCTTGGACAGACGCTTTCCTCACAAGTGCACAGCTGAAACTTTCTTCTCACCGACTGAATTGCTCAATCTGCTGTGCCTAATTAGGCATAAACCCAAGAGAGGCACATGTGAAAAAGTGCGGAGGACGGGAAAAAAAAAAAAAAAAAAAAAAAAAAAGCTTGTGAGAACGTTTCGGTCAGTTGGGCCGTTCCAAAAATGTTCGTCTCTACGCCGGTGGGCGGGAAAGGGGACTTCTTAAAAAATAACAAAAATGGGGGGAAAAATTACAAAAATGGAGGGAGAAATTTACCAAAATGGAGGGAAGTTGCAAAAGAGAAAGAGAAGTTTTTACCAACGTGGGGAGAGGCCCCAAAAAGATACACAAAATTGCAAAAAGTGTAGCACCTTTTTTTTTTTTTTTTGTTGTGGATAAAAAAAAAAAAAGCGGGGCACCCCTAAAATGGAGGGAGCACGAAAAAAAAATGGCAAAGGGTGTGGGGTGGCCATTTCTGCTTCAGTGCAAAATCAGCCACTTTTTAAAAAAAAAAAAAAGGCAATGCGCTGGAAATGGGGGCGTTGCTAATGTGTAGCGCACGCGCAACGGGGGACCGCAACTGGGTCGTATAGTATATGGAGTGGGATAAGGGTGTGGCGAGATAATAATATATTTTCACATTCTTCTCTCTTTATTGGGCTTGCAAGAGTGATGACCCCACATATGGACTGGCTCTTTCCAACGCCTCTCTTTTCATGTCCGCCTAGGGGAGGGATACCATTTTTTTCTCCTGTACCTGCCCGCCCGTCACGCCCACGGTCTGCCCAGGCATATATCTACGTAGTAAGGAAAAACAAAGCACTCGTTGGTGAGGACGAAATTTTTTTTTTTTTTTTTTCTGATCAAGCCAATGGTTGCATTAATTTCCGCATGAATTTGGGACGACACATGCTGCTTCGAGTGAGTGCAATTCATGTAATTAACATTACTCAAGAGGAAGTGGAAAAAATGTAAATTTGTCCTTTTTAACTTGGCGAGCATGTTGTGTAAATGTAGGTATGTGTAAATCACACACAGGAGGTGAGCATTTTGCACGGACAGCAATTGTAGCGCCTTTTTACCTTTGTTCACGTTGTGGGGGTCTTCTGTTGAGGGCCCTTCTGTGCCATCCCACAGCTGCAGGATCAAACTGTCAAATAGAGCAGCATAATAAGTGAGATCCCCGTGGCCATTTAAAATGAGAGAAAATAATAAACTTATTATCGTCTTGACCGTTATGTTATCCTCTTCAACGGAAAAAAAAAATTTTTTTTGGGGAAAATATTTTGCACGGAATAACTTATGAAGGAAAAAAACATCTGCATGTTTATTCTCGTAAAAGAAATTTAATTTGGACAATACAATATAAATTGTGGCGATGCTAAATTGTGTGTAATTGCTTAACCTCTTCTTATCCTTTGTCACAATTGTTCGTACCAACTCCGAGGCACACACTTGATTGTCTTCATTTATATTACTTTCCTCATCCGTGACATACACTTCAAACCTTTTGGTTGTGGGTATGGCGAGATAATTACTCACTGCGGAGAGGAACATACACACTTCCTTTTCGTTGTACGTGGTGAATAGCTTTCTCTTAACCTCACACAGGAGGACGCGAAGCAGTTCGTTGTTGCAATAGGAGTAGCAGCTGAGCGTGTGGAAAAGGATCAACTCGTACTTATTGTGAAGGTCGAATATAAAAGCTCGGTCATCCGTTCGCGCTAAGCACGCAGTAGGGGGGGGACAGCTACTCCTCTGAGTTGTACGTTCGTGTGTTTTGTAGTTACACCGTGTATCGCTCTCATACTCAATCGAGTTATTTATTTTGCTTCTTTTGTTTGTGCCCAGGGAGGGTAAAGGGCCAATGGCATCCCCCCCAGTTATAGCATTTCCCCCTTCACACGTCTTCAGAACCCGCTGAGCAACGTGACTTATTAAGCCAGCCACTCTGCACTTTTCATAACCATACCGATGCATGGAGTGTAGAATAATTATCATTTGTCCTAAGGAGAAATTTTTATACCTGTTGACCACGTAGCAGTGGAACACATCACTAATTAAGCGACGAGCTGTATTAGCGTAGCGGGGGGCATGATTCCCCTGAATTGTTACCTTGTGTAGGTTATTCAAAATGATACAAACACTCTTTGGGTTGAGGGAGTGAAACAAGGTGTCCTTTTCACCCTTGCTGAGCCTCTGCATTATGAGGTGATTTATTTCTGTTTTGCGAATGGAACACTTGGCCATTACATCTAACAACAAGGTGACGTCCTGTTCATTCATGAGGTGCACATATGGTTGGAAGAAACCCACAAAGGTGCTTATTAATTTGCGCAAGTGTTCTCTGTTCCGCTGCTCCCTCACATGAGTGAGTGTGTTCACTAGCCCCTTCAGGATTAGGACGTAGCTTTGGCTGTTATATATGTCTTCACGGAACATTTGCTCAACGGAGTGACTTATGGATACTGCTTCACGGTACAGTCGCTCATCGGGTGGAAGCGTACTTAGCTTCGTTGCTTCTGGGCTCATCTCCCCCTGCAGCTTTGCAGGCACCCCCTTTTTGACTTGGCTCCGTTTGTAAAATTCATATGATAGCATTTTAAGCGAATCCAATTTGTCGCGTCTCCACGTTAACGTACTGTACAATCTCTCCCTCCCGTGGAGAAGCAATCGCGCTGTTCTTATCATTTTGCTTAACTGTCACCGCTCTGCCGCCCCCTACCGCTACACTTCTACACACCACACTCAGCAGGTGCACCACCCCTTTTAAGAAGGACGTTACGACGTTGTTTTGGAGTCTCCATTTCCTTCAACAAGGGTGCTCGGGGGGAGGTACTTCCTTTGTTCTTTTCCCCCACGCTGGTTGCTTAGCGTCAGCTATACCCTACACGCATTAACCTCTACAATTCATTTTTTAACAGAAAAAAAAAAAAAAAAAAAAAAAGAGCCTTTTCTCCCATTTGAAGAGTAGCGTGATGAGGAAAAAAAAAAAAAAAAAAAAAAAATAGAAAAGTTGCCCCAGGAAGCGCACCTAAATATATGTCGCTTTGCATGGAGAAAAAAACAGAGCGACACATAGGGGGGAGGACATTTACCTAATTAGTTTGTATCCCCCTAATGGGTGAAGAAGGGCGAAGTGTTGACGCTGTGGGGGGAAGGCGCAACCCTAAACACACAATATTCTTCTCACCCACAAAAAAGTGAAGTGGGCAAACGGGGACCTACACAAGCAAGTTGACCCAAATTGGAAACGCCTCGATCATTAGGGCAAGTGTAACTTTTTCCATGCCGCCTTTCTACAGCGATTTGTCCGGAGGGGGGGGGGGCGCGTTGGCAATAGGCAAAATAACATGTACCGCAGGGTCCAGCACATATGTGTACTCCGTATCACTTCGTATTGTTTGTGTGCACATCAGGCACAAATATGTTAAAGGAGGGAGGAACTATTCCCAAGGTTGTAATATCACCATGATATAACTTCCCCCTGAGGAAGGATAACACGCACACCCCTTTGTGAGTGTTTTGAGCCGGTTCGAATGTACGATATGGGCTTGCCGCACGAGGGTTCACCGTGTGACAAGTCACACCTAGTAGAACATTAGAGGACGGGACATAGGAAAAACACACCTATACATATGTAGCATATCAGCAACGGTGTATATGCACATGTTGTACTTGTGTTATGCTCGCTGGTCCACAGCACTGAAAGAGATCCTGAGGTGAGCATCCCTTTTTGTGGCACTTTGAGAGAAGGGTGCAGCAGGGAGGTAATTCAAGGTTGTGTAAAAGTATGTGCATCTGGTGAGAGGCAAACGTAAAAAATGCATACGTGCGTTGTTACCCACACAAGAAGCTAATGTGGCCCCCGGCATATGGCATGTCAGCCATTTTTGTTTTTTTTTTTTTTTTTGCGCACCCAGGTGTGGGCACGCCGCTAACCCCCGTGCACCGCCGCCGAGAGGTGGGCAACAGGTGGGCGCTCAAAAAAGGAGCCTTACAAGATCCTGAAGTGAGCGTAGCAACGTACATACCGACGTATAATGTGATATACATACCGACGTATAATGTGATATACATACCGACGTATAATGTGATATACATACCGACGTATAATGTGAT